TAATGCACGTTTCTGCATGCAGAGCTTTTACAGCAGGCAGTTGATCGAGTGGTACGAGCTGAACTAGAAAACAGAAATAGCATGAGGTCGGACAGAACCAGGGGGGAGATTTGGTCATGCCTCTACTAAGTTAAAAATCCAGGAAAATCCAGGAATATGCAGAATGTCTAGCATGAAGCAGAACACAGGTCGGCACATGCTCACCAACACACACATGACAGGACTCAAATCGTCAAAAATCACCATTCAGCATACAAATTGTCCAAAATCCAATCGTAGCCCGTGATATAGCTGATTAATTTCAAAAAAGTTTTTGATGGTGTGAGAAAAATTCTTCACCAAAAGAGTGCAAGGCTTATGCCCCTAAATCATCATAATACCAAACCACCAATGTGGAGATAAAACAGTGCCTACAAACTCACCATCTCAAGTGGAAAGGAACCGGGTGTAGAAGGAGACGTTGGGATGATGTCAGAAGAGTAGCTGAACTAAAGGACGGGCACTTCGAAGCCCAAAGCATTCTCAATACCTACTCATCACCCCATGTTGAAGGTCCACCCATTCCGACTTCAACTGCAGGGGACAATGGGACTGTAGAAACCAAACCCTGGTTTTTAGTTTTCTTTTTCTTTGCAGAGACAGCAAGCAAGCCACCCAGAACATTTATACCACTTTTGTCAACTGTTTTACTTTCACTGTTATGTTTCAGATTTTCTACAGCATCAACCGAGAAAAGGTCTGCAAATGATACTTCCCCGTTATCAATAATATCGAGTTCACTTAGGTATTTCCTTGACTTTTTACTCTTCAGTTTCTTTTCAACTTTAGTTCTATCATCATTATGGATCTTATCATCATTGTTTTTCAATAGCTCCTCATGTGGTTTTTTCCTCTTTAATTTCTTTTCAATCACAGCATCATCCTTTTCATCAGTTGAAGCTTCTTCCATCTTTGAGACTTTACCCTTTGTTTTCTTCCTTTTTTGCCTCAAATCCTTCTCCACATCATCACTAGCATTATCAAAGTGATCATGTCTTTGATCCATCACATGCTTGGAGGAATTCACATCCCTTGTTCGGTCTTTTTTCTTTTCTGAATGATAGTCCTGCTCATTGGTAGGGATAAGTGAAGAATCATCAGCTCTACCACTGATTTCGTTCCTGGCACTTTTATCTACAGGTCTAGCATTGAATATATGCAAGTTTGGCAAAAATTTCTGGACCTGCAGCAATATTCATAATCATGTGAGCAGAGCAGGAAAGACATGAACAATGGAAAAGTGGAAAAGCAGATCACCTTCTTGGTTATTTTGGCATTCTCAGCAATTGGGTTTCCAAGTAGATTAAGGTTTTTCAGGTCAACTAGAGAACTCAGCACCTGTGATTTTATATTTTTGCAATTATTTGGTCAAAAGTATTAGACATTTGGGGACAAACGTAAAAGCAAAATCTTCCTCTGTATCCATTACCTTTACATCTGACCATCTAGCGATCAAATTATTCCCCAAGTCCAAATTCTGGATCTTCTTATTACAAACCAATTCAGCTGGAAGAGTCTAAACCATTGAGAGAATAATTAGCAATTTAATGGTAATAATCAAACTTCATATAAAAATGATAAAAAGTATCCTCAGTATTGCAGGACAGAAATAAAAATGGAAATACAGAGCACATACCTTGATATCATTATGAGCAAGTCGGAGCTCTTTCAGCTCAATGCAGGATTTCAGGGATGAGCCAATGGTTTGAAGATGACAATTCGAGAGTGAAAGCTGCAAACAAGAATCTATTTAAGAGACATGACAGCAGTCAACCAAAATTGCACGAAAGACATAATGTCCAAGGAACTACTTACCTTTGTCATAGATTTCACCTTGAACAGAGATTCACCAATTTCACGGATTGGATTTCTAGACAAAACTACAGGATAAGGCCAAAGAACATCACTCAATTCTGATGATTATATGATAGAAACTTTTTTTCGGTTATGATTCAATTTTCTAGTGATTTGTTTGGTAAAATATTCACATGTCATACACAAACTACATATCATATCAATAGAAATGAGGGCGGGTACTTTGGTTGGAGGGTTTGATTAGAAATCCACTACTTGGAAAGCAAAGAGCATTATAAGTAACTTACACTCAAACAGTAAAATGGGTTAAATTAAAAAGAAAAAAAATGGAGAACCAATAGAATTATTACTCTCCTGAGGAAACCTAAAGCCTTTTCAGTCCTAGAGTACACCTCATGGAATGAATCTAGAGCTTTTTCAGTCCCAGAGTACTGCACATCATGGCACTAGAAATGTTCCATAAGACAATTTATGGATTTGCACAACATAAAAGAATAAGTCAAAGGCTTAAATGTTGCAAAAAGATATATTAGAAAGGCCTAGATCACTCATCAAAAAGGAAATTCTTTATTTATCAGAATAAAGAGAAAAACAGCTGAAAATATGGAACCACTTTGTAGATGTCTATGGTAAGCTTCAAGACAGCAGTTTTTTTTCTTTTTTTTAACATATCCTTGAACATGATAAAGGATACTAAAGAATTTAGCCCTGATGTTACAATATCTGTTCACAATCGTAATTCATCTCATTATTTTTATTGAAACAGAAATCTCATAACATTATAACCATTCTAAAACTTAGGGGAGAAAAGAGTACAATAATTGATTGCCACATACTTTATTGTCCAAGAGATTTTCTTTAAGACTTCACATGCTTCCTTTTCTTAGATTGCTAAATCAAATACTAATCCCTCATCAACCCTTAAAATGATTATGACCACTAAACTTGTGTCAAACTCCAACCTCCTTCACACAAACTTTGAAAGCATACTAATCCCTCATTAATCCTTGATCCAGAACCAAATTAGCTCGAACCATGATTACCACCCCGCATTTTCCCTTCTTCCAAGATATCTCATTTTCAGGTTTTTTTCCCTTCACATAAACACATAACGAAACTCTAATGCAGCAAATAAACACGTGAACTATCGATTCCTCACCAAGAGTGTTCAATTCCTTCATTTGATCAAGTTTGCAAATCGAAACAATCTCATTGTCTGCAAAATCAGCAAAAACCCAAAAACTTACAATTCCATCCACCATTAAAAAAAAGAAAAACTGATATTCGATTCTTTGATCCTCACCATTCAAAATCAAGGCGCGTAAGCTAACCAGGGACCGAACTTCATCAATTGATTTAATCTTATTTTTGCCCGCATTTAACACCTGATTCACATTTTCATAAAATTAATTAAAAATCCAATAAATAATAAATTAATTAATCAAAATTTGGAAGAACAAAAAAAGAGCTTACAGTGAGGTTAGAGAGTGATTCAATTCCTTTCAAGCTTTCCAATTTGTTTTGCACAACTGACAGCCACTTCAACTTCACACACGAACTCAGTCCCTATTTTTCCACATTTTTTTCAATAACATCCATCATATGCACAACAAATGAAACCAAAACAAAAAAACTCGAGGACTTAATTGATACAACCTAAATAGTCAGGGGACTATTTTGAGATTCTCAACATACATACCTGGAGAGAATTCTCAATATACATACCTGGAGAGAAGTGAGGTTATTGAAGGCAAGGTCGAGCCTTTCCAAGTTTTGGAATTCGCTCAAACATGAAATCTACGAATATCGTAATTTCCGTTAGAGAAGAGAAATTAGGGAAAAAAATGAAAGAGGAAGAGAAATGCGACGTCGTACATCGGAAAGAGCTCTGTGAGTGAGAGAGATAGAAGTAATGGAGTTAGCGTCGCGAGTCTGCTTCTCCTTCAACACTTGCTGGCTGCTCAAGGTAGCCATGGTCTGCTTCTGCAGAGAAAGAGGAGCGCGCTGCTTGTGCTTGTGCTTCTGCTTCTGGCGGTGGAGAAAGAAGCGGCGGTTTTTGCTGTTAGGTTAAAGAGGGTAGGCAGATTTGTAATTGCAACGATATTTAAAGGGCTGTTTGAGAATTGGGTTCATATGTGTTAAAAAAATTTAAATTTTTTTTTATTTTTTATTTTTATTAAAATTTAACATAATTGATATGTTTTGAATTATTTTGATATATTACTATTAAAAATAATTTTTAAAAAATAAAAAAATTATTTAAAAAATTATTATTATCATATTATTAAATATATTTTTAATAATCAAGCGTCGTAAAGGTATAAGTAACATGTTGTTTTTAATAATCAAGGATCCATAAAGGTGTAAATAACGTGTTGTTAAGTTAAAGTGATTTCTTGTTGAAACACAAGATAAATGAGTTTAATTAATTAATTTTAAAAAATTTTAAAAGCTGATATTTTTTTTTAAAAAAATATTATCATGAGAGAGTTTTGTACAAGTTTTTTTTAAATTAATTCTAAAATTAATTTTTATTCAAGGAAAATCAATCATTATTTTCGATGCTTCACCATATTTTTTATATATTTTAATATTTTTATTAAAAATATATGAGAAATTATGTTGCTCTTACTTGTAAGTCCAATATAGTACTAAAATAAATTGTCTTTCAATAAAATAAAGTGGTGATCAAAATATTTAAAATTGTTTAGATTACATGTAAATCACCAAGGCATCACAGATAAAAATTGATCAATGTACGGTCCAAAAAGGTCTCTGTTCATCAATATTAAAAAGAACATTAGTGATACAATAAAATTTCCTATAACAAATAATCCAATAAACCTAGTCACTAGGTCATCTAATTGATCAATTATCTCCATGGATATTGAAAGAGCTTAATCCAATAAACCTATAGTCACTAGGTCATCTAATTGATCAATTTTGTAACCCATTAAGCTAAAATTTCAAATTAAATTAGATAAAAATTAACATGATCAATTCAGTCAAATCCCAATTCATTTTTTTAAATATCATTTTAATTTTAATTTTTAAATCTTAAAAACCCATTGAATTGAGAAGATGTCAACTCATGTCAGGGCCGAGTTTAATAACACCAACAATGGCTCTGCATTACAGAACAATAGTAAAAGACAAAGCGCAAATGTATCATTGCATTGGAAAGTTCATGCAAATCCACCTGTGGAAATGTTAGAATTTAACTCGTTTTCCTTTACAACTGCATTCCCAGCCCACAGATTGAAGTCAGTGCTCTTTAATCAGAAGGGAAGACCCTATCACATCCAGCATAAAATATGACATTGATAGCGAACAAAAAAATTGCTACTTCGGATATGAAGTTCAAAAATCACGAAATGTACTTCTCCTGCTGATCCTGAAGTAGCTTGGCCGATGACTTGGCATCCAGATACAATGCGCACACTTCGTCGAGGTCCGCCTACATGTTGAGCCAGCCAAAAAGTGAAAAAGTCATGCGTTGATAGTGAACAACGTTCTTAAAGCGCATTCATTCACAAACAACGGGTGCTGACAGATTGATACAATTATTACCTTGCATATCTCTTCTCGACCATTCAGTTTTGCCACAATGCTGGCGGGTGATAATAGCTGAACCGCATGCCTGCGGGGACAAAAAGTTCTAGTTAAAGCATGCTTAAGAAGTAGGTAGTTCTTTTCGCACCTCACACATATTTATGAATTTTATCAAGACCTCAATGATGTGCGCTGTCCAATCTCTCCAAGGTCAGCTAGACTCTCTTCATCTATGTGCAGTTCCTCGACCTGTGCACGAATTGCTAAAATCTGACCAAACAACAGGAGTCCATAACCAAGCATTAGATCGGTGCCTGTCAATTACAAGAAAGTCTACTGAGTACCGATAATAAAATCACACAAAACTTGGCCTTACCTGTATCATCTCAGCAGGACCATAAGTTTGTGTTCGGATAATCACCAACCGATCCAACAAGTCAACAGGGATGCCATGAGGACTATTCATATCTGTCCCTCTGCACAGCAGCTTGTCCATATCAGGAATCAGGATATAAGAGCATGTTACAAGGTGGAAGGTTTGCACAAGCTAGTGGCCAATTCAAGCAGAGGGAACATTAACATAATTATATTACAGTCGTTCATAGCATATAAAATGAAGCTATCAATACATTTCACAGAATTTTGCTCTTGCAATTCAAGATCCTATGATGTCACAAAACTCCATAACCCCAAGATAGTATAGGGAAAACATATCTTGCCTAAATGAGAGACGAATAAAAGGCCAGACATTATTCTATATTTTATAAACACAAACACCATAAATACATGAATGCTCTGAAAATTATCATAGAAAAGATTTGGAAAGAACATCAAGTTTTTTAAAAGCAAGGAATGGGAGAAGAAGGTTAGAACCCATTGTTCAGCATACAGCAAATTGCATTTAGTTGCCTATTGCTCACAACAATAGTCAGTGACCACAGAAAGGAGTCCAACCAATAAGAAGGAAATAAATATTTTAAGACCACAAAAAATTTCTTTCAAACATTTAACTTCCAATAGAAAAGATGGTTTACCCTTTTTAAATGTTTTCCATCTACTTATAATGATTTCATCCTTGATAATTGGTCATCGTGAAGAAAGTGATATTGTTTGGTGCTTGTAGTTTATAAAAAAAGCAATGAGAAAGCTTCATGCCATAAAAGCAGATCAGAACTTCAGTGTCAACCTTTTCTTTTTTCAGGTCTCTTTGGATTAGACTTAAGAGGCTATATTAAATGACGTGAATAAAGGTCCATTTTTGGCACAGGCATAACCTTATTTCAGCAACGACAACAATACTTCGAAGCATGGTATAAATCCCCATAGCACAATTCACCTGGTGATCAATTTCTGGGTTCAAATTTAGGACAATTTACTAATTGAATGAATTTATCATCTATCAACCAAATTCACCATGATGTCAAGTGTGAATACAGTCTTGCCACCAAAACTTCCAACACGAGGATAAAAAAGCCTTGTTTTGCACATAAAACATCCTTTGTACCTTACGTTACATATTCCTCTATTTGTAGCAAAGATCACTATGGGTGACAGCGAGCTCTCCAAAGCACGATTCAAATACGAAAAACACTCCATATCCAGCATATGTACCTGTGAATTTTGATTTGATTTGTGAAAAAAGGAAAAGAAATATGCATGCATGAATAAGTTGTGGAAATGGTCTAAAGGAAAAACAGACCTCGTCAATGAATAGAACTCCAGGAACAAGCTCTGCAGTACCCTTATCAATAAATCCATTAACAACCTGTCATCAACAATTTTGTTTTCAGTCACACACTTGGGATAACCCATAATGATATTGAGGTTATGGCAAGCCAAAAATAGAGCATTTATTTGTTTGGTATTGAAAAACAGAAGAGACATAAACAAATCGTTCAAGACTTTGTGATCTAATTGCAAATATTTGCAGATTGAGGATAATTTGGGAACAAAAGAAGATAACAGGTAGATTCTACTACTTTAATTCAAATGATCAACTCAGGCCTTGGTCCCTGGAAATAATCTGTAACTAAATACTACCATGGACTCAGAAGCAGTACCTTATTTATTTCCTGTCGTAGCTTATCAGTGATTTCTGTTTTTCTGGGCTTCATCATTTGGCCCATTAGAGACAATATATCTTGCCCACCTTGAGGCCTTGCATTAGCAGCATCTAGATCATGCAGAGTTACATCCTGACAAAATGAAAATTAGAATAAAAAATTAGGGTGATAACTGTGACACTATTATGAGGATAAGGCAACTGCTTATAACCTGGAAGGGAAAGATTCACAAGGTGACAAGTTCAATCAAATTAACGGGTACAAATCCCTAGATGTTTAATTAGATAGCTCGCAGCCATTGAGCCACTACTTAAAAATGCAAATCTAAAAGTTTTGGATAGGGTCCTTTAGGGACACATTATCCAATATTATACACATGCCACCTGAGTCTTATCATTTTGAACACAATTTCTTCAAAGAAGGATGGCAGTCTTGTTTAAAAGACAAAGCACCCCCTGTGCTGAAAGATTCTGATAAGAATCAACTTGAAACAAATACCAGCAAAATTATGCACAGATTATAAAAAAGATGTCATTGTCTAAATCACTTGAGCAAGATGCCAAAATAGTACAACACATGTGATGCTAATAGAGCAATACCTGAACTATCTCCTTCTTTTTGCTAACTTCTCCCTTAGGAAGCGGGACATACTCCTCTGCTTCAAGGTCGAATTCTGTAGCAAAAGCATCACTTCGACCCACTCTTTTGACTGCTCCACTATTTGCTTCAATGTATATAACATCTCCCACAGCTACCTGAAAATCATATTGTACAAGTTACAATTTCGATATCACAAAAGATCAGGTTAAAACTACAAGCAGTAAGAATTTAAAAATCTTCGCAGGTGAGAACCCAAGAGAATAAACAAGTAATCAAAATGTACAAGTCCCTTTATATTATAGAATAAGAATAAGCGATGACTTCTGTTTCTGCAACAGCTCTCAAATAGTTCTAAAGCACATAAGTTGAAAGCACACAGGTACGTGCTTAAGAATTTTTGAAACAAAGAATTAAAAGGGCTTACCTTCTCCTTGATCAAGGCATCATAAATACTGGCTTCCAATCGTAGTTGCTTTGTTCCTTTGATGGTTTTTAGCCCAATAATTACACTACCAATGCTTTTACCGTAGCCACCAGTTAAACTTTCAGATTCTTCTGGAGAAAGTTCAGTCACCTGAAACATCAATACCAAAACATCAGCATCAGGGACCAATTTGAATATGGACAAAAGATTATGAGATAATCATCAGTTGACAAAATAGAGTGAATATAACTTGCCTCTCCCTCGTAGACCTCTTTATTCTCCTTGATACGTAGACCAATAGCCCTTCGAAAATTTTCCATCAATACCTCAGTTTTCTTAACTTCAGATGAGTATACTTCTGATCCAACCATTGGACAAAATGGAACCTGCAAAAAACAAGCAAAATTTGTATCATACGAACTCAAAAGACTACCAACTATTTAAAATCCAGACCACGTTCAACAACATCATTAAAAAAATAAGACATAAGACATTGGCGGGACAACTTGAAAAATAAGAGAACTCAAAAATTGTAAGTTCTACCTTAGTTCCAAGTTCCTGGGAAACTCCAAGAGCCAAAGCTGTCTTTCCAGTTCCAGGAGGCCCAGCTAAGAGGAGTGCACGGCCAGCCATCTTCTTCTGCTTTATCATATCGACTACAAGCCCAGCTGCTTCTCTAGCCTCTTTCTGACCCACAAATCCAGCAGCCATATCAATGGCTCTTCCACTAGGCTGCAGAGGAACATAGCAAGAAACAACACAGTCACCTCGGCCATAAAGAATCCAATTCTTGAAAATATTTTTTATTTCTGGCACATATCTAACTAAGAAATGACCCATTTCCACCTAGAAGAAGAAAAAAAGAAAAGTTTTAAAAAACCCTAAACCCTAAAAGAGAGAGGGGGGGTGTTCACATACCTCAAGGCCAAGGCCTCTGATGTGAGTGTGCGTAGCTATTCTCTGTTTCTTGGCAGTGGACTGTACCTCTTCGATATTCATCTTCTCCAACTCACCTTCTCTCTCACTCTCTAGCCTTGTCGCTCTCTCTCTGGCTACAGACCGTCCTTAGTTTAGGTTTTTTAGAGCAGAGCAGAAGCGGGTTTAAGCCTTCAAGGCTGTGTGCCCTTCTTTTTATAATGTAAAAGCATGAATTTTTATTTTTGTACACTTCGACTCTTGTAGTCCTCAACATCTTACAACATAAACCTTAAAGTTTTTGATTTGTTGCAAGATCTTCCCTTTTTATTAAAACAAAAAGAAAAAAGATTTTTTTTTCATCAATTAATATTTTTTGTTTGAAAAAGAAAGAAAAAAGATATCTTTTTTCATCAATTAATATTTTTTGTTTGTTTATATAAACCCTTTTCAATATAAAAGCATCTTGAATCAGCTTTTATACATAAAAACTAAATTACTTTCTTAAAAAGTCATATATATATATAGGAAAATATTTTCTTACAATAACTGGAAAAATTAGTAATTTACTTGTTCATTCTTTTTTAAATAAAGCAGAAGGGAAATCCATGGCTAGCATAGGTTGAACGAAGATCAAGAATCTTCTTCAATTTTTTATAAGTATTTTATAGCAAGTGTTTAGAAATTAGAGCCTAGGCCTTGAGTATGTTTTTTTTCTTTGTATTTTACATTATTAGTCTTTAAGAATTGAATTGATGAGAACTTATTATTCGAGATTTGTTAAAACCAATTCATTAGCACTTCTAATTTAGAAAAAAATCAAATAATTCCTTGACATTAATTATAAACCATCATCATCTCAGTAGTTTTTTACTCTAAAAATACTTTATTTTAATCATGATTTTTATTTTTATTTTAAATTAAAAAGAATGTAAAATTGATGACAGGATGAAGGTGATAATCATTAAATAAAATTGCAAGAAATGATAGTTAAAACGTAGATTGATTGGGTCTTAATGTTGAGTCAATATTTGGTCTGATATAAGACCCAACCTAGAACAAGTATTGGTATATCATTAGGTTGATTAACATCAAACTGCTATTAATGATAATTGGTAGGGGGTTTGAAAGTGTTTTTGCTTTTGTTTTAATATGTTTTTTAAAAATATTTTTAGCTTAAAAAATTATCAAATTAACTATCTTTCTTAATGCTTTAATGATTTTGAAGTATTAAAAGTTAAAAACAAAAAAAATAAAAATATTTATTTTAATATTTTTTTTTAAAATATTATTTTAAATAGCATTACACACCACAATCTTAAAACACACAAAGGCTTTTTTTGTTTTTCCGGTGAAAAAAAACTTTTGAATTTTTTTTAATTTTTTTTAATATATTAATATCAAAAATAAATTTTTAAAAATAAAAAAAAATATTATTTTAATATATTTTTGAATAAAAAACACAATTTAAAAACAATCATCACCTCATTATATATACATTATGAAAGAGCTCAAACTTGTATATAACAAGACGGAAACAGAAAAAACAAAAAACAAAAAAAATCATCCCATCTTCTATCAAATTAACTACACAAAAAGAGAGATTTCTCTCCATATCAACTCCTCAAAAAGAAATGGCCACCGTAATAACAGAGTAGCTAGCTGCTAACAATTCTCAAATTGATACACTATCTAACGTTGCTTGGTTCACCCCATTTCCAAAATTGTCTCCAAGACCTCTTCTTTTCAAGAGAACCCCACTTTCAGTCTCAGTGTTGAGAGCTAGCACTCAGCCATGTAGGCTTCCTCTCTGTCTTCTATGCAAATTTCCATTCTTCATAAAGGATCATATGGACCATCACTAGTAAATGATAAAATTTTGTTGTTAATACAATTTTTTTATTTTGTAACATGGAAGGATCGATATTCTTTATTTCTTAGGCCCATTTTGCTACTCTTGTTTACTCTGAGAAATACGAGACTTGTTGTTGACAGGTTCGACAGATATTGAATTGAATTCAGGCTTATGTCACTGTGTTCTGTAATGCTTCTGGTGTTAAAGTTGGTTTCTTTTCTGAGTTCAAGTGGCCTGTAGAGAATCTAACTCACCTTGATCATTGGTATATGGATTTTCTTTCTTTTGTTTCAGCTCTTTTTGATTCATGAACTGTCGTCTATTTGATGTTGCTGGTCATTGCGGTTGTCTTTTTTCATTTCTTGTTTTCTAATGAATGAGCTTGCTTATACCTTCAACTCTTATAACAACAAGTAGACAATCTCTCGAGGGGAAAGGTTCCTTCGATTTTCAGGCAAAAGAAGTATAATGAAAAACTGCAGTCATTTCTTTGATTGAGTGATCATGCACTCTCTTCTTTTGTGTAAGTCAACAGCTACTTTTGATCTCATGATTGGGGTAGGAAGTGGGGATCTTAGGGACTCACCGGAGAAATCAATTAAGGGAAGCGATATTGCGCTTTCATCTCCGAGGCTTGTGATACCGGCTGCAATTCATGTCTCATCAATATTTTGCCAATGATCCTTTTGATTTCCAGGTATTCGTTGAAACCATTTCTTTTGCCGTTTTATTGCACTCTTGAAAAATGTTCCCAAATGCTGTTGGAGATGAAGAAAAAATTGTTTGGAATCTGTTCGTACTTCATCGGGGCCACATAGCTTAAGAGAACTCTTGGCACTAAACTGAAGACTTTTACGAAAAGCTAGCAAATCTACTTGCACTGGGTTTGAAGTTCTCGAATTCAAGGGGCGGTAGCTAGGCTACTTTTACCCATAGGAACGAAAGAAAGAAGTGAGTTGATTCTTAATTGTCCATCGTTCTTTTGTTATTTCACAGCTTGTGCCTGCTATGTGTGGGGGTGTTTGTATACAAAACTGCTGCTCCAGTGCAAGCATACAGAGACAACGATGACCTGAAACTTGTCTTGCCATAGCGGGCAAGTACCAAGTGACTAAGTTATCCATTCAAGTATTATCAAAAGTGTATGACCCATCCACACTAAATCATTTCATAGCAGAGTGCAATGCTTCCCAAAGAACTTGGTAGCCATACAGTTTCAGTTCATCATATTTTATATATGTTATTTTTATATATAAAAAAGTAAAAAATAGGTGATAATTTAATATTATTGAATTATGTCGCTAAGCTTTTATATATATATATATATATATAATAAATTATTAGACTTAATATTTTAGAGCTAAACATCTTACTAAACCCAAATATATATAGAATTGAAAAACTTTTTAAACCTCATATTAACTTATAAAATTTCATTTATTTATTTTTATGATCTTTAACATAAAATATTATAGTCAAATATATTAATACCTAGACACTATATAAAAGTTTTAAGAATTCAATTTTTTTTATTAAATTAATAATATTTAAGAAATAATTATTTCTTATTAATAGTGTAAAAAGATCCATCCTCTCTCTAAAAAAAGATTTATAAACTATAATTTCATATGGATCCTTTAACCGTAAATATTTATAATTTTTATTTTTATTGTATATTTATTAAAAAAAAAGTTCTCTAAAATATTATGGTTTTTTTCTCAAAATAACATTTACTGCATCAAAGAGTTTTAAAATTTATTAAATAATATTTTTTTATAAATATTAGTCATTAGCCATCTTGATTTACTAAGTATCACTTCCAGTCACTTAGATTAAAAATAATACATCAAATTATTAAAATTAACCGATTATAAATCTTACTTCAAAAACGACTTCAATTTTCTGGAACCTCACTTTGCGTACCTGTGTTGAATATTCCCGCAGATAAAACCACCCAAAGGGTTACTCTCGAAATGCAAACTGCTTGGTTTTGTAGATTAAGCTTGTGCAAAGCTTGCTGGTGGAAATTCTTGTGCGAGTCTATACTTATTATAATGAAATTGTTGCTGTCAAGAAGATGTTTTGATTAGATCGTACATACAAAATCATCTAATTTCTGTTTAATGGGTTTGCCTAACACTTTCATGTAAAAAATCATGTAGTTGCCATCACCTGATATTAACGTTTCGTGATTGCCAGCAAGCATTCGAATGAAAGCAGATCCGCATGCATAGTAGATTTCATTTTTATATATATATTATACACCGATAATATCTAATAATTTGTAGGCAAGCAAGAAATTAAGACGTTGATCACTGTCCTAGCCAGTTTTTCCCCAGCATGCATGTAAGCAAACAAGATAGTTCAATGTTTGCTTGTGAAGGAAGCAAGTCTTCTGCCATAAATCGCCTCCAGAATTGCTGCTCCAGCCTTGTAACTTCATCTGTCAACCTGTGCACACTTTTTTAATGCTTGTTGCAGCTTGTTTGCCTTTGCTGCGGAAAAGTGCATTTTAATTTTTCTTTTTAATATTTTTGAATAATTTTAATATGTTATTATTGAAAATATTTTTTTTTAATATATTTTAAAATAAAAAATATTTTTTTAAAAAATCACCATACACTAATTCCAAAAAAAACCCAGCTAGTTTATGTGATTTTATGTGTTAAATGCTGAAATTGGATATATTTTTTGTTCGTGTTTACTAACTGGACACGTCAATTTTTTCCATTTTTCCTCGCAAAACTCTCATCAATCCCTCTACTGTATATAGTTTACAAATTGAGTCCTCTAAATACCAATTCTATAAATTAGCTCCTCCATTGTTTACCTTTTCTCAATCAAATCCTTCTATCAATATAATTGGAGGTGACATTAAATAACGCACGAGTTACCCACGCATTTTCCAATTTGGTAACGACTTTGTATTGCATTTGGGTCACAGAAACATTAAATTTAATCCTCTTTAATGTTTCTAATATAAACATTTTAATATAATTGAAAAAATCTAAAAAAATATTGAATTGATTTATTTTTAATTATTTTTTTTATCAAAACATATGCACTGTTTTATAAAAACACATAGATGTAACAAAAAGCTTACATTTCCTCTCATTTAATATACATAATAACACGTGTAATCCAAATATAAAACTATTTTAATCACATAATTATTTATTTTAACTAATCTTACATAGAAAGAAATAATAGAATACTTTTCCATAAAAAGTAACACACACACAAAGAGTTTAACATCATCCTCAATTGTTTTCAAAAGTTATTAACGTATGTCGACGGAGGTCCCAATTGAGAAAACTGATAGATAGGAGACTTCTTCAAGAAAAAAAC